GAAACTGTAAACTTTAGATGCTTCTAGAAAGCAAAGGCAATTTGTATTGCACAGAAACATGGCATAAACAAAAAATGAATCTCCAAAAAAGATCTTGAGCAGGAGCTGTCAGGTGGATTTGACTCTTGGGTAATGTTTTATCATATGATTTTTAAACAAGGTACTGTAATTACAAAAACCCACAAAAAGTTATCACTGTTTAAGTAATGCTGCTTCATGCCACCACTTGCTGATACTGTACAGCACTACATCTGCATTTTTTTTGTCATTGCTTGTAAATGACAAAATTAACATTAGAAATGACAAGAAATCACACTTTGCTGTGTGTTTCTCTGTAGGACCTGAAGCCCAGCAACATAGTTGTCAAGTCAGATTGTACACTGAAGATTTTGGACTTTGGCTTGGCTCGGACAGCTGCCACGGGCCTCTTGATGACACCGTATGTGGTTACACGCTACTACAGAGCCCCAGAGGTTATCCTGGGCATGGGCTACCAAGCAAATGGTTAGTGTTCATCTACTGAATGCACTGTTTTTGTGTTAGATCTTTTATAACCCATGTACAGGCACCTGAAGATAAGTATTGCTATTAACACAAGCTTCATGGTGCTTCTTCACATGATGGGACTTTGTTTTAACAAACTGCTCACTAACCGGCCTCCTGCGTGTAACTAACCTGTTGTTGTGCATTCCTCTCACCTCTTACCGGCTTTGTTCCACTTCACTAGTGGACATATGGTCTGTGGGCTGCATACTGGCGGAAATGGTTCGCCATAAAATCCTCTTCCCGGGAAGGGACTGTATCCTTGGGTCTATTTTAATATTTCTTCACGCTTTTACAGTCTTTTCTAAAGGGTCTGCTCCTCCTGCTGGGCAGACTGTCAGATCTTTCCCTAGTCAAATGTTGGCTCGAATACAGTATGCGGTGCCAGGCTTTGGGGACTTTCTATAATAGCCCAGTTTAACATGCATTATTGGAAGCTTTCTGACTGCCATGGGCTTTAAACATGTCAGTTTTCATTTTCATCACTACCTTGCTTCCTCTCATATATCTTGCTGATGCTGCATGTTCTCCATTTTCATTCCCACTGCCATTCTGCGTGCATCATTTTCACCTTGTTGTGCTTTTATTTTTATCCCACCATTTTGTTTGCATGTCCACCTCCCTGTCATCTACACATCCATGTGCAGTGGATGTATGGTCAGTGGGCTGCATAGTGGCCGAGATGATCAAGGGGTGCGTGTTGTTCCCCGGCACTGATCGTATCCTTCCCTGTCATTAATTCATCACTGTCATCACTTCATGCCGTGTGAAGAGAACTGGGTTCCCCTCATTCATTCCCAAAATGTTCCCCCCTGGAAACAGGACCTCCATCATTGCTCGAGAATAAAGGGCAATAGATTGATTGATACTTGCTGAGACGGATTGTTTATTAAAATAGCTGTGTAGGAAAAGAGTGATAGGCTGCATCATTTATGTTATCTAAGTTTGTGTGTTTGAACAATGTAAGAAGAGTTTGCAACGACAAAGAACGCTGCTGGTGTGTTACTGTATATGTGTTTCCTTAACGTTTACACTTTAGACATCGACCAGTGGAACAAGGTAATTGAGCAGCTAGGCACTCCATCTCAGGATTTTCTAATGAAGCTGAACCAGTCAGTAAGAACGTACGTAGAAAACAGGCCACGCTATGCTGGGTACACCTTTGAGAAACTCTTCCCAGATGTGCTCTTCCCTGCCGACTCTGATCACAACAAACTCAAAGGTAGTGTGTTTTGTATTTACTATAGTCATATGACCTAATAGAACTACTTCACCAAATACATTTTTAGACTTGTGTTTATTTGCAGAGCTTCTTATGTATTTGATGTTTCTCCCCTCAGCGAGCCAAGCCAGAGATCTTTTATCCAAGATGTTGGTGATCGATGCCTCCAAGCGCATCTCCGTAGATGAGGCCCTGCAGCACCCCTACATTAACGTTTGGTACGACCCAGCCGAAGTGGAAGCGGTAAGTTGATCTCTGATCCTTAACTGAGTCATGCGATTTTTATTACATCACTTGATGTGGAAATTTGGCATCACTCTTGTGCCCCTGATCTGCCATTTAAGCTTTTCTCTCTTTCTCAGCCCATTCCAAAGATCCTAGATAAGCAGCTGGATGAGAGGGAGCATACCGTGGAGGAGTGGAAAGGTCGGACATCATGCTAAGACTCTTTCACACTGCACTCAACACTTCTCCCAGTCCGTTTTCAGCGTATTATTTACCCTCTGGCTTCTGAAGCAGCACAAGAATTACCTCACTCTGTAATCTGAGTGAATAGTCTGATAAAATACATTTATTCTGATGGATGTCAGTGTTGTTTTTGTACCTCGAAAATAGTTATATGTAGATAAATACATTTTAGTTTCAAGTTATTTACAAAACCAGCTGGTTAATTAAACATCTAACATGTTAATATGCAACTTTTAATCATTTATAAATCCAAGCTATTTTTTCATCAGCTCTGTAAACGTTAAACTCTATGATTATCTGTTTACAAATGGTGACGTGATCACGAAAAGCACAAAAATAAACCATGTCTAAAGAAATCCAGTGGGACAGCCAGTAAATGTGCAGATATGCAGTTGCTTGGTTGCCGACGTAGTTGCCCATGGAGATCTGTATCATCACTGTAGCTGCCAGAGGATGCATTGCATGATTTGAAATCCATTTTGAAGCCCCTCCGTTAGTGTTTTCCACTGTGGGGAACCTGATTCGGTGGCGCAAACAAGGACTTCAGATTGAAAAAACATATCCCTTTCAGTTGTGCTGCAGGATGAGCTCATCCTAACCCCTTCCTGGTATAATGACCCCTTACTTATTTTAAAAAGGGTCATGCCCGCAGAGCCTCTCCAAGTCAGAAACATGACGCTGATTGAACTGTGCAGTATGAAATACATTTTGTAGGCACATTTTAAAGAAGAGTATCACCTACACACGTCATTGATCTCTACCTGTTTCTCCTGTCCCACTTAACCTTCTCCTGTTCTGTCATTTGTAGTGCTAATTTATAAGGAAGTGAGTGAGTGGGAGGAGCATAAAAGAAATGGTGTGATAAGAGGCCAGCCTCCTCCTCTAGGTGAGTAATCTTTATAATTTGGTGATATAAGAAGCGTTGGGAAGAATGAACCAGTAAATAAATAGAAGCACACGATATAAGAAGGTTGATGTTAGCCTGAATGTGTTCTGGGTTCTGACGCTCAAATGTTAATACTTTTTTATTTTGTACAAAAGTTTCTGAATACATATATGATGGTAGGTTAAACCAATCTACATTATATCAAATCTGAGATTTCTAGACTTCTGGATATTGTTAAAGAATGATGTAAAGTCATTGGTTTTTTTAACCCTTCAATATTTCAGCTTAAAGTAAAGTGTATTACGGTCATGAAGAGGTGAAGTCTTTGGAGAATAAAGTCATTCATTTGGAATATTTTAAGAATGAAGCCATCATATTTTTCTAATAAAGTTGAAATATTGCTATAAAGCTCTGGTTATTTTCAAATAAAATCAAAATATTTCAGGACCAAGGTTGTCATATTTCCAGAATGTATGTTATGTTATTTAAGCTTCACATAATTTGACTTGCAAATGACCAACAATTTAAAATGACTGTTTTCATCTGTATGTGTGACTCAGCAGACGATGGCAGTTTCATGTTTTTTCAATCAAACCTATGTGGTGACGTGTGTTTTTCGCAGCACAGGTGCAGCAGTGATTGACAGCCCCCCTCAACCCACGTCATCCTCCTCTTCGGCCAACGATGTCTCGTCCATGTCCACAGAGCCCACTGACCCTAGCAGTGACCCCACCATCACCTCTGAAACAGACAGCAGTTTAGACAGCCACACCTCTCTGGGTGCGCTGGCCTGCTGCAGATAACACACGCATACAATCCACAAACACACACACACACCTACACAAAAAAACCAACCTTTCCTCATCAGTGTGTGTGATGGGAGAGGGTTTAGGCCAATGGAACTTCTCATGTTAGTTTGTAGAGCTGAGCTTTTAATGTACAGTTTGTTTTTATTTCCCCTCCCCCTATACTACTGTAAATGACTGTGGTTTGAAATTGTATCATTATAACTGTATTTTTGCTGCAAAGAAGAGAGTATGTTTTGATGTGAATCTGTGATGTATGTGATGGAAGAGAGGGATTCGACTGTACTTTACTCATTGCTGTTTTTTTGTGCTACTGCTACACAGTTGAAAACCACATTGTTAGCACTGCAATATTATGTTGAGTATATTTTTTGAATTGTTCATTTGGCATTTTTGTATTGTTTTGGGACATGTGAATGAATCTACACCAATTCTCTTTTTTAACAGTAGTCTATAGTGCACTTCATCTTGAATCAAAACGCAGATGAATGATTTTTTAAAAATATTTTCCCTCATCTTTCTTGTAGAAAGCGTCCTTTGGTGTATCCACCTTATTTCTTAGTATTACGTCACCTCTGATTGTGTGCATCTTGACAAGCAGTCAAATGGTCTATTTCCCTGACACTGAATTTCTTTTTTACTATAGCATACTGTTAACTGACTGTATTTAAACTTATGTAGGTAGATGTAACTTGTAGGTGATGGTCTGTTGGATGAGGAACAACAGGGTGAATGTAAGTGAATAGAAATGTTGCTTAGTGAGGAGCCAGTGATTACTGTTAGCACTGTAACAATTTAATATAGTCCACTCCACTGGCTAGAATGAGTTCTGTATTTGGGACTGTCACCAGAAAGTCTAAATCACTTTCAGACATTGGTCACAGCTGTCTGATATTTAACATGTTTAATTTAAGTGCCCTTACTCACTTCAATAATTTTTCAGTCCTCTTTGTTGCAGATGCTCCTCTCTTCTGTGGTGCGTCTTTCTGAGTTCTACCTCACATGCACACATGTTTTTTGAAGATGCATTATGTATATCACGGCACACATCATTGGAAAGAACACAAGATCCATATTTTTTCTTTATTTGCGTTATTTATTTATTTATTTCAAGCTAGGAGGCGTCTATTGTATGTAATGTACATTTAATTCAGAACTACTATTTATATGCATTTTGTTTCATTTTTTGTTTGTTTTTCTGTGCAATATACTTCATAGATTAATATAGTCAGTGATTGATCTGTACATTTTACTGGAAATGTATGTATGTTTTCTGAGGCTCAGGAAACTGCTACTTGCCATGGTAACCTTTGGATGTATATGATGGCTCAAATTCCCAACCTGTCCCTTTGCTCTTTTCATAGTTGGGCACTCCAGGCAGTGACCCATAGCATCAGCTCCCAGAATGCACTTTGGGGATTGTGACGCATGTCCTTACCCCTTTCTAGGCCACATCTCAACTGACTGTTGTGACTTCCTGTTTTTGTCATTTTCCTCTTCTCCATTTCCTCAAAAATAGAAAAAGATAGAATAGAATACGCATGAGTTTTCTCTGAGCAAATCTGGCTTTAGTGCAGGTACATTTAGAGGAAAGATGGGAATTCGGCACCACTGGGATGATGTTGCAGTCTTCTGATGGGTTGGCCAAATACTGATAGCAAAGAGCTAACCTGTTGTAGTGTGTTTAGATCAGGCCAGTTATGTAAAGTTAAGCCTTTTGATCTGAAATTGCCTCACTAACAGACCAATTATATACATCAGAAATGGAAACTGTCTACCTTCAACTCCAACAAATAAAAGAGTTGAATTTTTAACGTCTCATTGTTCTTTATTTTAATGTCAAGTAAATGTTTCTCTCATGAGTTCTAATGGGAAATGAGGAGGTTGTGCATGGGAAGACTACCTCATATCATCAGAAAAGCCTTTTTTTGTTGCTGTTTTACAAACTTCGATAATACATATGAAGCTACATGACCTACAGTGTATAATAAGGAATTCTGCGGAATGATAAAATGCTTGCTTTGTCCAGAGGAGTTCTCGTTTGGCACCGGCACTGATCAGTGTAGGCACAAGACGGCTGTACTAAACAGGACACGATGGCAAGTAGTACTGCACTAGAGGTATTTGGTCTTCAAAGCTTTGGGGCTTACTGGTCTTCCAAGTAATCTAGCTCCTCCTCTTATGGACCAGATGAAGGCAGGTTGGTCTGGGCTAGGTGGTCCGTGTTGCTCCTGTGGTCAGATCTCCAAGGGTTTCGAAGAACTCCTCCATCTCTTTCTGCAGGAGGTTGTTTCGGTTCTCTGCGTCTTGATGTGCCCTCTCCGAGTTCCTGAGTCGGATCTCAAGCATTTGAAACTTCTTCTTCTCCTGGTCCAGCTCCTCCTCGAGGCGGTTGACTTGGGACTGGTACTTAGAACAAGACTCCTCCAACCTCAAAGAAGAGAAGAAGAAGAAGAAGAAGAAGAAGTCATAAATAACAACACATGCTGGTTTATTTTTAAAATAAAATATCAGTGATTTATACTTACTTTCGAATGCAGGTTTCGTAGCTCGTCCTCTGTTTCTTCAGCTCCTGCTTGAGGTCAGTTAGCATGTTGGCGAGACCTTCATTTGTTCCTGTAATATCATCCTCAGTACCGCTTACAGTGTTATTTAGAGTACTTGTACTGTCCTTCACCTCTGCAGGGCTCTCTTTACCCTGTTCTAATATTACTGCTTTTTCTCTTCCCTTTGGCTCGGCCAATGAGATCTCAAAGGACGTCCAGATGGAGGTGTCAGCAGGCAGGCTCAGACTGGAGGGGGCAACATTGTCATAGGCAGACAGTCTGTGGGATTGGTGGAGGCCTCTGTGAGACAGGGGTGTCTGAAGGCAGTCTTCATCAGAGTCTCTCTGTGTGTCCTTAAGAGGGAGAGTGGTCTCTTTCAGTGAGAGGGTTGAATCCTTCAGGGTGTCTTTGAGTCTTTCACCAGATGAGGTGGTGCGCCTGTGAACTCGGAGGGACGACAGGCCATTCATCAGCCAGTTGCTCCCACCAGCTGCTGACACATCCCCTGCAGACCCCCCTATTTTCCCCCTTTGCACCCCAGATGCTGTCCCCCCTTTGAGGGAGCACCTCCACGTGGGCAGGGCTTTAGACTGTTTACTGGGGCTCATAGCTACTTCATTTTCACCTTTCCCTTCAGTTTTACCATCTGCTTTTTCATCCCCTTTCACTTCTGTCTCACCCTTTGTCTTTTCTTCAATCTGACCATCCTCAACCTTTTCTGATGTTGTAATTGGGCTTGGTGCAGTTGGCTTACTTTCTGTTGAAGGGGTGGAAGATCGGCGTTCCTCTTCAGGGGTTTTGGAAGATGGGGGGTCATTGTTTTGTTGTGAGAGCCATTCTGCTTTGCCCCGTTGTGTCGGACTCTGCTGAGGCTTTGGGGGAATCTTGGTCTCAGTTTCCGGCTGCTCCCTTTGGTAAAGTTGTGTGTATTCACTGATCAGCACAGTCATGAGGTGCTGCACCTGGGAACTTCCTGTTTACAATGACAAATTACACACTTGCTTGACATTGTTCATGACATTATAAATATTGATTGTGAAGCAAGCTAGTGTCACACGCTGCAGGTAAACATGTATTGGCATTATCACCAACCCTCCATCATGGTAACTGGATCCTCCACTCTGGGCCGAAGGATATTGGGTCCAAACACAGTGGCCAGATTCTGAACACTCATCTTATTCTCATTGGAGTGAGATTGAACCTCATCCAGAAACCTAAACCAGGAAGAACCAGAACGTATTAAAAAGATCATGCCACATCAATAAACCACTCATTCTTTCTTTCTAGAAAAATGCAAGGCTGGTGTGTGGGTTTAGCTGATGGTATTTAAATATGCGCAGAAGGCAGAGAAGACAGGAAATTATTCACACTCAGAGTCAATCAATGATGCCACTCCGCTGATGACGAGGATGTGGGTGTAATGAATGACATTTCTTTTGTATGACAGACATCTTCAATCAAACAGTGAACAGGACATAGCAGCAGGAACAAAACACTTCATAGTCACATCAGTGAGGAATACACTTCCGCCAACATGACCATTTGTACATTATTAGCTCACCCTGTGTTACCTTGTACTTGTAAGACTTTGTTTTTCTAGCATGCTTCCACAGTAACAGAAACCAACATTGAGAACATACTCGAGTAAAATTGTATCCACGATTGCTACCTCACAAAATCATTTGAACTAAAATCATACTTTTAAAACACACAAGCCCCCATTTACTTCAGTGCATCATGCATTTTCTCTAGTTTTAGTATCTTTGTTCATAGTGGAATATTTAACAAAAAAAAAATTAAGGTAACACTGCATGCATTATTGATATAAAAATGGTCATGTAAGGGGTGAAGTATTCCTTTAACAGCTACTGATATCAGACAACAAGACAGTATTGACTTACTTGCAGATGTATGTAAGGAGGTTGTAGTTGACCTGAGGAAGGGATTTCACTTGTTTGCCAAGCTCTATGATACCCTTAAACATACATAAGTCAAGTTTAATGCCAAGGCAACAGTTTGGAAATCAAGCAATACATTGTTAAGTAGACATGTAACTACCATTGCTTTGTCCTTGGTAAGAATCTGAGCACAAGATAGAAACTGTGTGTATTTCGGGAATGGGATTATAGGCTCCGGAAGCTCCCGTATGTACAGCTTTAGCAGTGATGCCACTGTGTGGACATCTGTGGTACTGTAAAACACAGAGAGAGGGGACATAGATTAACAAATTATATCCAGCATGGATTATAAATTGGCATGCAGCTGTATATAAAATGCCCTCTCCCACTGCATCACCTGTCAAACACTGGCTTCTCGCCACGGTCGAAGGCATCCTGCAGCTCTCGAACATGATTGGTCTGTCCGGGGGCCCTGAAAAGGCCCTCCTCTTTGAGCCCATGTTCACGTATGAAACACGCACACTGTTCCACCAGCAAAGGGACCGGTCGCTGCGCTCCACACTGAGCCTCGTATAACATTGTCTCCTCTAGGTGCTGCCCGAAGACACCTGCAGCCATACAGAAAATGAACACCAATCATTAACCGCTCAGAAAGTTCTCTTAGGTGTACCCAAGAAGTCCAGTCTTTAAAGCATTAATAGTTGATTTGCTTTATTATTGTAAGTAAGTGTTGTATGTGGACATGTGTTTTTGTGTGTATGCCATTGCTGTAGGGAGAACATTTAGTACTCTAAGTACAATTTGGTTATTGAAGATGACTTAAGTATCCGTGTTATGTTATTTTATGGATGGAATATTTTACTTGTTATTGTATCCGATTCCACCACATTTATTTGATAGCTTTTAAAATACAACACATTATAAAAAACTTGTGGTTTTCCAAGATTTTGGAATTCTGATGTTATACATTGCTTTATTGGTACTTAAAGAAAATAATCTGGATACGTTTTAAGAACACACCTCCTCCAAGTGGAGCCCATATGACTCTACGTATGGCCCTGACCCAATCCTCCATGTCACTCTGGGAGTTGGCCATCAGCAGGAATGATTCGTGGCTTACTCCTGTTCGATCCTTTTCTCCAGCCCCCCCTGAAAACACAGACATATTTCATTACTTTCTGGATCAATAGGACAGAACGACAACTCAAAGCCTTCGTGCTGTGTGGATTCATACACAGAACCACATTTAAATATACTTTGCGGTTCACATAAAGTGAATCATCTGTAAAAAAGTCAATTCTCCCAACTAGAACTATCAGTATTTTCAATAACCTTATTAGCTCCAGCACCCCTGTCAAGTACAAAGACGCAGCCATGCAGCTCTGCCTCACCGCCTCTGGCTGTCCACAGCTTGACATTACCCAGATGGACATTTTGGTTTGACATTTTAGTGTATTTCAGTTTAGCTTTAATAGGGATATGTGAAATCCTCTCCCTTTAGGGGGTTTTGGGAAGAGGTGGAAGCACAGATGAAGATAAAAGCATCAAACCGGCTATTTAAAAAACTATGCTATACTTTGTTTGTACTGATGAAAACCTTATGACTACTTTCCAAAAGATAAGGACATTTGTGTATTTGGTAGGGGTTACTCTGGAGGGTATATATCAAAACCTGCATTCATTAATAAGTCCTTCACTCTCCTGCATGGTGTGTTGTGTGTGTGAGAAATGACCCAGAAAGAGCAGTGTTCCCTGTGGACAGCAGAAAATGCACCATGGCTCTTTTTCTTTTCTCCTTCCATCCAGATCCTTTACCTCAGCATATTTTCAGCTGTAACATCAGTGTATTTCATCATTTTACCTCATTTACATGTACAGTTTGTGTGAAGATGCACACAAACATGCACACTCACAAAAAAGCCACATACATAATCAAAAACAATAACTGCAACAGACAATTATTATAGGCAGTGCCACTATGCAGCACTGCAGTAGCTGCTAAATCTGCTGACATTCATGTATTTCTAAACACAGGTAATGTGTAAAGTAAAGCCATAGAGGGAAATTTATGCAATACTTTCATCATTTCAATTGGCTTTCAAAAGTACCTCAATACAGTGGTGTTACAGTGTTTCTACAATGCATTAACCAAGCCTCCAAGCTAATACTTACTACCATTTTAAATGGAAATCCCATCCTCAGGATAAACTTTCATGGTGTAAGTCAACCTGGTAATGGCCCATGTTGAGCCCTTAAAAGAACGGATGCTTTCAGGTGAACCTCTGTTGATATAACCTTAGACGCTTTTCCGTGACAGACAGAGAAACTACTATTAAAGCCAGTATTTAAGCAAAAAGGCTCATATCTTTTAAATCTTTACATCTCCATCCAAGTACAACATTTCTTTCTCTGGCCTTTGATCTTTCTGCTGTACATACTGTCCATGGTTCTGAGTCATCATGCCAACCATGCGCTGTCAAGTGCAGATATGAATTAAGCTGTTGTTGAATCCTTGAGACACATGGCCATGGAAATCAAATCTTTTCTGCTGTTTTGCAAATGTTATGCATGCGTTACAGCTTGTGACTTATATTGATTTACTTCTATTTTCCATCCATCACTTTGATTCGGGGCCAACACAGTTTACTCAGAGGATATGGCATGCTGTATTTACAGTATGATCCCAATTTCAAGCAACACAGAGACATACTTCCTGCGATTAACGGAACACTTGGTATTGGGATAATGTTCTAGTGGTTGTGGAAATGCACTGATGTTGAAGTATTTGGGGATTTATCACATTATAAACACTGAAAACTCAAAATGTGTTCAAGTTTTGTACTGGTGGGAGATGTATAAAATATATAAGATGTGCTTTATACACAATTTTAACAAAACAAAAAAGTGTTTGTCTGTGACCCTTTAACAAAAGGTGTAGAGTCACTTGAACAAGACTCACGCACTTCCTTACAAGCAGAGTTGTCACCATGCCAACTCACCTGGAACAATTTCAAAAGGGTGGCGACCAGGCTCGTCCTGATTGGCAGGGAGCTCATTGACCTGACTGCACTGAAGAGGAATACAACCCTGCAGGAGAAAGGAGAGAAAGGTGTGAGAGAGGCAGAGAGAAAGACAGACTGACAGATGGGCAGGCAGGAGGAAAACACCTGTATCAACAGAACTCGTGGGCCAAACAGGATATAGATGAGTGGTTCTGGACTTATGTGAAGTGCATGTTAAACATTGTAGAGTTCTGAATACACTGAGCTCTGGGCATCCGTCCAAAAGAGGGATGTAATGATGATGGAGGGAGAGATGACTCAGGGAAACATCTCTTCATCCCTCTGCTGCTTCCTGTACTGTACATCCTTCCAGCATATAGGGGGTCAATGGTCACTTACTAAGTGCTAATAGCAGAACCACAGGGCAGCTTGTTACCACATTATCAGTGTGTGTCAGGGCAATCACAACATACTATGACTTTAATGGAGAGTGTGGGGGGTCTTAAGGGTTTGAATGAATATTTCTCCAACTATAGTATACGGCACCAACACATATACCGATTAGAGCATGTCGCTTTTAAACTCAGTGATGCATAATGCAGAAAACTCCTTCATTTTACTTGAGGACTACAACATGTATTTTGTCGCCTGCTTTAAAAGAATCAATAAGCTATTTTCAGAGTCAGGGAACACACGGTGGATCAACTGGCCCTTGGGGAAATAATCAGATAAATTCATGAAGCTTGAATATGCATCACGCTTCTAACCAATATGATTAGAAACACAAGGCAGTGCAGCCTCTTAGGAAAACAGGTGTCACCAGGTAACTGTCTTGTGAATGTGTTATTTAGTGAATGTCACCTGTGCCTTGGTTTCATCCTGGTCCTTGTAGAAATACAGAGCTTCATTCCTCAGGACAAACCAACGCAGCTGCCAGTTTTTCATGATGCTCCGCTGCCTTTTTAGCCATCCTGCCTTCAGTGTTTTCTCCTGATCCAGAGGAGAGCAGGGCCTGGAGATCCGAGATAACTCTCCAAGCACCATGCTCTTAGACCGTGCTGCATGGACACACACATAGAGATAAAGAGACAGAAAGGAGAGTGTGAAGGATTACCGGCATCAGAATGAGAAGGAGACAGCGAGAAATAAAGATAGAGAGAGTTACATTAAGACAGAAAATATCCTTTCTTTTGTTTTGATATTATTCTAAAATAATTCACCCATTGACAATCCTGGATCATTATTCAGAGAAGTCTCTCTTGGATACAGCTAAGCCCACAGGCTTTACCATGCATCCAGATTTCCTCTTAAGTCAATCTACAGGGGCATGGCCTCCATTTTGCAGTGAATACATCCTGCTTTAAGATCAAATCCATCTGTCTATTCCATTACATTTCATCATGTGTTTCAGATATTATTAAAGGCATATATCATTTCCATTGCGGTATGGAGAGGAGTTTTGTTTGGATCAGGCTGCGCTTTAACTGCTACAGAATGATTATAAGCATGGATTATATGTTAGCATATAGGTGCTAAATGTATAGAGAATAAACAGTGACAGTGGAGCGATCCATGGGGAGTCATGGGGAGGGAGAGAGAGAGAGAGAGAGGGGGAAGAGAGATAAACACAAGGCAGGAGGAGAGGAGAGTAAAATCAATGACTTATTTTTTCTTGTTAATTGCATCTTGCTTTCTGCTGAGGACAGCAGGGAAGGTATCTGCAAGGGCCTCGACTCAAATCTATCTCCTGTTTCATCTCTCTCTCTGCTTATCAGCTATAGCTCTATGTCTGGTTTCTCCATTTTATTTCTCTCCTTTCTGAATGTCCTTCATTTGCAGAGTCATGATTGCTGGAAAGAGACCACGTGAAACAGTCATTAATAAGACTGTATGACAGCAGGAGTAGGCGCAGCAGGATCGAATAATGTGGCAAGATGTGGTCATATACTGTTAATCTTTAAGAGGAACAACACCTGAGAGAGGAACTTGTTTTTTAGTTTACTGTCAGCTCAAGATTATTGGTTGTACAATGACCAAACTGTTATCTTTAATTGATGTACTGTTTAATTAAAGTGCATTACATCAAAGGTATCCTTTACTAACTCTTACCATACCACAATACAATGATACTCAATGACAAGTCAAAGTGCCAAAAAACATTTGAAAAAATTAACTTAAAAGTAAAATCAAAAGAAAATTGCTCCTATTGGTGTTTCACAGTACTAAGCTTATAGCTGTTAGCTACTGATGAATGAATATGTTGGCAATATAATACTGTTGGCTGAGGTAGAGCTGATTTGAACTGAGTTATATACTTTGGGTAGGTTAATCTGTAACAGTGCATAATATTTTATAAAAGGAAAATCATATGTTAGTAAAAATCTTAACCAAATAAATCCACTGGAGTAAATATGTATCTTTGAATTGTAACGAAATAGTAGTAGTAGTTATAGTAGTAGAAGTAGTAGTAGTCGTATAATTGGTAGTAGTAGTAGTAGTAGTAGTAGTAGTAGTAGTAGTAGTAGTAGTAGTAGTATGAAGTAAAGCATAACATTGGAATACTTCAGTTATGTACATTGTCTACAATGTGTACTTAGTATCTAATTAAATGTGCTTTGTGACCTCCATTGCAATATCAAAAGTGAATACTCATTATTATTTTACAGCAGAAAAACGGGCCCAGTCAGTGTTACATTATATTACATGAATTATTAAGGATACATTACTGTAGCATTTTGCTGTAATGCATATCTGAAGTGGATACAAATTAAACTACTTTATTTACTGTTGGGCAATTAAATCTATTACACTGCTTCCCAATTTCAGATCATTATAGTTTTGATTATACACTTCTTATATCGTAAAGATGTCAAATGCATAGAAAAAAGCTGTTTATACCTCTGAAATGTAATAACACGGATGGCCTTCAGTGTAATACCTTACAATTGTACTCTGCTTGAATTGAGGTACGATGGTACATTGATTCACCATAGGTATTAACTTTTGGATATTCAATCCAAATGCTTTCTTACTACCAGAAAATTAATTACGTAATTAATTGGTATAATTAATCTTATTAGACTTTAACAAGTAGTTAGATCATTACATATCGTTTCCAACACAGATCCTAATGTTTTTAACTAACATATAAATGAGACCAGAATAATATTTTGCAATATTTACAATGATCTTGGTGTTGTATCAGTTTGAACAGGGTCTCTCTAAGGATATCATGAGGAAAAGGATTTAATGGTTTACAAACAACTTCCCGTAAGAGTCTACGACTGCTTCAGGATTCTGCTCTAGTATCTAAGCTTAAGTGCAGATCCAGCGCTGTGATGCTCTGTGATGCTGCATAAAAGGGTCAGAGCAGAGCAGAGCAGAGCTGGGAATCTAATCAAAGGAGGATACCATTACAGCAAATTAGAGATGGCAAGTGCACAAAACGTGGCAAGAAAACTGAAGCGGCTGCAATCTCCAACTGTGTTCATGAAGGAGAACGAAAAGCCATTTCTCCCATCACAACACACACACACACACACACACACACACACACACACACACACACACACACACACACACACACACACACACACACACACACACACACACACACACACACTAACGTATGGGTTATTGAAGCTGCTGCTAGCTAATATACTTCAAGGAGATCAGAGCCCTCTCAATACAAACAATACTGGTCCGTTTACAGGAGATAAGTTGCCAGCTGTCACGACTCCCCAAGCACGCACGCATAGCAACAACCAACTAGAAGTATTAACTCAGGATAATCTCAGTGCAAGGAGTAGTTCCTGTAATTTACTGCTTCATTATTTATCTTCACGCAGTCATGTGAGAGGCATGTATATGTGCCCTCCCAACTTCAGCGGTCACCAGCGGCTTTTATCCGGCGTTAGGGGAACTATGTTTGACAATCAGCTGTTGTGACTTACAGGAGTGGAGAGCCCTGCATTCCTCTCACCACCTCTGATCTGGAGTCCCCTTTCAAAACCACGGCAAGCTAACACACTAAACAAATACAGACGTAGTCACAGGTGTGAACAGGTCAGGATGCAGACCATTGTTAGGTAGGTGAGGGAGGATTATCCTTACAGCAGCCATGTTCACCACAACCATAGTATCTCCTTCTCTGAATCAGGACGGCATGATCAAGTCACACGCATGATTACATCACTCTGTAGTAGAGCATGTTAACTGAGTGAGTTGTACATGGAAGATAAAGCCTCAACACTTCAGAACATGCAGAAAAACTCAGGTCATTACTGATAATAATAGTCACTGGGATGCTAAATGACACCAATGCTACTAATATGGCGCTGCTCCACCTTTCTGATGTTATTATCATGGAAAGCACTGACAATATTGATGTCACATTATTAAAAAGACAGCAGGAGCTCAATAAAGATGAATGGGGAGACAAGGAGAAAGGGAGAGAAAGAGATGGATTGGAGAGAGAAAAAAAGCCTAAGAGAAATAGAGATGGAGGGATGGAGAAAGGGGAGGAGGGACTGTGCTTACCCCGGCGTGCCTGTTTTATCTTGGGGCTCAGCATGGTTACCGTTGCTGTGCTGCTCCCTCTCACAGAGACATGACTGCATCCCTCTGTTCACACACTATTCCTCAAACACACACGAACTCACTCACACACACACACACACATACACACACACATACAGAGCCTCTCGCTGCTGCCTCGCCCTGTTACTCCTCATCCTCCGAGCATCTCTCTCCCCGGCTCACTGTCTTGCACTTGGACCCTGTCTCCTTCTGATTTTACACACACACAGAGACACACAAACACACACACACACACTTAACCACACAATCTCCACTTCCTCCCCTCCTTTCTTTCTTCTCACTCCCCCTGTCTGTCCCACTGGCCAGCGTACTGTTGTTCTCACATACCTAGAGCCCTGCCCACTCTCCCTCTCTCGCTCCCTCTCCTCAGCTATGCGTCTCTCTGCCTTCTGCTGCACACTCTCCATATCAATTTCTCACCGTATATAAATATGTCTGGCTGTATGTCCTCTGTCTTGTCACCCATTTATTTACATCGCTCCACAGTCTCCACCATCCCTTCAGCTGTTTGCTCATGAAGATTTGATTATGGTCTCTTCTGTACCTGAAGTACAACCTCAGATCAATACATTTGATTTACTGACACCATTTATACCACTAAATGTTTGATGCAGAGTAAGTGTCCAAGTCTTGGTATTGTCAGTACCAATAATCCATGGCAGATGTTTGATACATACTGTATGGTATGTTTAAAACTGACAAAACTCCACTGTTCATATTTAGTACCCCGACTCATTCAGGCTAAGATTTATTGTCTGAGGAGAAATGCCACACTACTCAGTCACTCAGCAATCTGTGCGATGAAAGCCACAGCACTCAAGGGTGTGATGTTCTTGTTCCTATTCAGCCTGAAAGGGTTGCAGCGGATGTGTTAAAGCAGATAAATGCTGCAGTTCAAAAGGCTGGATGAGAATTAAAAAATGCAGTACGTGGACACTGCTGACTGAGCTTTCTCCACTGAAAAAATAACCTACTCAGCTTGCACATAACCATCAATGACAAATAGTCATGGTCATACATCTCATGATAAAGGCTTTGTAAAGGAGTAGCGTATAGAGTATTCTTTACATTTTCAGAATTTAAAGAGCTCGTACCCTGACAGATAGATATATAGCAATGGTGTAGAGACCAATATAGCATACAATTATAGCACACATGTTTATTAGAGCTCAGAAAGTGGGATCAAAAGCAACACAATTGATCGCCACCTTGCTTGACACATTATAATTGTTTCAAAAACAAACTTAAAAATAACTTTACCTGCCCATTCCTTTGGTTTGCCGATGGTCGAAGTCCTGGATGGTTTCATGGCGGTGAACCCGCTGCACAGTGTATCCCTCTCCACTGGGGCCATTTCTAGCCTCAACACACACAGACACACTCAGGGTCTGAACAATGGCAATACTGACATCTCAGTCCTCTGCTTATTTGATAATCACTAAGAATCAAATCATATGACATTCACAAACCCAAAGAGAATTGGGGCCACTATGGCTGCCATTAGTAACACAACAATGACGCGCGCCTGAAATATGCTGATGTGAACAGACTCAGAAGGAAGGAAATAAAGACAGTCATGGTAGTATTACTTGCCATGTCATCTCGGATTGGCAGACCAGACGACTCAGAATCTGGAGCCAGACCCTCTGTGCTGCACAAGAAAGGCTCACTCAGTCCCGAGCAGCTGCTGTGGTAGGTACTGCTTTATAGAGAAATAAAATGTTCTCCCACTGTCCTCCTCTTCTGGATTTACCAGTCCGTCTCTCACCAGGGAAGTGAGCTGCCTTGATGGAGAAGTGAAAACTGCTGACTTCTGTTTAAACAACATTATGAGTTTCTCCTTCAGATGTTGATACCGTCCATTTTTCAGGCAACACAGTGAAATTCAATGCTCTGTCTGATAGGGATTTGATGTATCACTACCAACCGTGTGTGATAAAAGGCTTTGATGTTGAAAAGTCAATTAAAGTATCTAAGTACATTAACTCAAGCTGTAAACTTTTTTGACATACTTGAACTTAACTATTTCAACTTTTCCTTGTACTTTTTCCTTCACTACCTTCATTTATTTATGTTTAACAAAGGAAATGGGTTAGGCTAACATTATATGATGCACTACTTTATTACTAATCAACTGAGGAGTAGGCAAAGTATCTGAAAGTATCTTATGAAGACTTTTACTATTCACATGAATTAAAAGATAATCATTTGTTTTTTAAATGTTTTTAATGGCAGATATTCGTGATGTATTTAATCAAGCATATTTTTCATACACCATAAAAAACCGTCATGGCACAAATGAGGTTTCATACTGGAAATCAAAAGAAACTGTGAAACCACAGATACATTATGTTAGAACATATAAAATGTATTGGTATATTAACAAGTGGCAGCCAGTTATACAATACAATAACACTGATCCAGTAAAAGCACTCACAGGCTTACATGCACTCACTACAGCAGACACTACATAATTTTGTGTGACGTAGCCACTCACAAAGTCCAGACACACCAGCCTCTGAGGGGTGTGGGGAACATCATCTATAATCTTGATATAGGGTCCTGAGGGACACAAAGGAAATGAGTGTGTTTAATTGAAAGCATGAAAAGATCTCATTAGTGAGAGCAGAGGAAGTGTCATGGCTCAGATGACTGGGAGCAGGTCAGAGAGGTAATGACATTATGTGAGGAACAAAGTCTAACAGTGCCCCTGATATTAACCATTATCACTAGCTAATCACAGGACCTGCTAAAGTTATGAGAGCTGTGAATGATGCTTTACACCATTGGGCAATTTTATTCAACATAACATAACAATCATTCATTCTGAGGCGTTCCCTGCTAAAACACAGTTTCGGAAGTATGCAGTTTTCACAGTACAATGTAAACCAACAAGTTAATTGTTATCTTAAAAGTATTCAGTGAGGTCTCTAAAACTAGATGAACATCTAAACTCTAAGGGCTAGTTATTCCCTTTAAGGACAAACCTGCCAACAAATCTACACTAAAGCCTTTTGTGAATTTAAATAGATCATTGTGATATAAGCTTGTTTTACATTCAAGTACAACATGATATGGCATTACGGAGCCATTTATTCTAAAGAGGACATTATCAAGGTTGAATGCGCACAAGTGTCGCTGTAAACTCAGAAGCAAGTGAGCGATGTAATGAGATAGCACAGTACAAACTGACAGTTTTAAATGTCTATGGAAGTTTTGTCCTCTCTCATTAGTCCGCTTCCCACCCGTCTTCGACCCTCCAGCAGAAATGACAGCACTATAGGCCAGCGCTGCGCTAGTGACCGCTGTTTTACTGAGCTTTCACTCTGTCCAAAGTAGGTAGTTGTTCCAGAGGAAACAGCATCAAACTGCTCTATGAGTAGCCATACCTCCCAAAGCAGCGTCACTGCATTCATAACCATCAGGGACACGACCCAGAACTCATCCCCTAACAATGTAAACCACGATGACCAGAGGTGGAAGCCGTCGTACTTCATTTCATACAGGTAACTTGTTGCCGTGGAAACAAAAAGAAGGTGGGCCATCAACATGGAGAGAATGAATAAGACGAAGAGGCGGTGGTTACCACGGCCGATGCAGCGGTTGAGGAACAGGCAGTGGTGGTCGTAGTCTGTGATGCACACGTCACACAGCTTGCAGTGTTTAGTGTAGTCAGGCTGGAATAACTACAGTACGAGGAGAGGAAAGACAGGGTGGGGAGGGGAGAGAAACATAGTTATTATATGATGTACCTTCATCTCTAGAGAATGTTGCATCCTAAACTTTATCAGAAACCTTTTTAAAAAGCATGGCACAGATTTGTGCTTCATTCCAACATTTTAGACAAATGTTGTATATTGTTGTTATGGAAATCAATTGGCAGAGAACTAATGACCATACACGTTGTATCCCATTTAATTACGAAGCCCAAAGGCCCAAAGTCACATCATTATTGAATTAAGACATCTGAGCTGTTTGGAGAAACACACCAAGGCAAGATGTGCTTGGTGTACATTTCTGTAACATCCTGCTGTCTCTGCATATTGTATTTCCTGTTTTATTTTGAAAGACAAACCACTCCTTTTGCTTTAGTTCCTGCTCTGGTATGTCCAATGTCCTTGACTATCCTCCTATCATTAGCTGGGGTTATTGCTGCTAGATTAGGCAGCCCCCCTGTAACTCTGGCCAGGATGGTCAAAATCTGAATTTTTTTTACTTAGTATCTGTTTTTTGATATTGTGACTCCCTGTCTGGATTTATCAACATGGTTTGGGCTGACCGCCTGGATATTACTTCCTGGTTCTACAGTAAATGTCTTTTTTGACTTTGTGTCTGTCTCTGCTTTTAAGTCTCTGTTGACCTCAAAACCGTTACATATTTTTGATCTAGACTGAAACGTATAACTACATGCATAGATACATATTGGGGCATAGGCAATATATCATGGCTCTCCCTGATCTATGACCAGTGTGAATGTCTTACCTCACAGTATGGACAGAACCTGTGAGGGCTCTCGTTGTTCTCCACCAGGTCAGCGATACAGGAGAACCGAGTATCTGCGTCTGCTCTTTCCAGTGTTCCAGGGTCCTGAGTCAGGATCTTACAGAACAAACCCAGGACAAGGGAGAAGTGCACCATTGACAGGTTGACCAGATTACTGGCCGGCCACACACATTCAAAAGGTTAAGGATGAACACTTTTATTATGCAAAATCCTTGATTACATTTTAGAATTTACTGTATATGTTTTGGAAAGCTAGAAAACTAGGAGGGTACTATCATGTTGACAGATTTCATAATAAAGCTTGTCCAAAATAAATATATATTCTTTAGGGACTACAAGTGTGTTTATAAATTAACACAAATTGTTGCACTTTAAATATTCATTGAATATGAATGAAACTGAGATTGTACGCTATTGATGGGTAGTTTAGTACAAACTATCACTATTGAAATACGTCTCACAGAACAAAATGTTGGTCACAATGTTGGCACCATAATATTTATCCTGCAGGAATTTTTAAATTAAGGACGACATTTTAAAGCTAAAGCACCAAAGACAGAACTGCATCCCAACCACCATTGAGAACGTTTTGTCATACTTCTAGCAGGACAAGAAATAATACAAATATAAATAGGCATGAGACTCAACTTGAAACATTTGTTAAGGATATTAGGCATTATTCTTCCATAGAAGCAGACAAGGGAATGAATCAAGCCAGCTATGAGTGTTCCCAGGTAGACCGGGTTAGCTAGCCTAGAAGAAAAACAGATGGAGATATAACAAAGAATATGTATACTTAGTGATTCATATTTTATCATTAAAACCATTTTTGTCAAACCTTTGGTATGTGGTCATGCGGTGGAACTGTGTGAAGATGCTTCGGGCCAGCCAGGGGAAGAGCAACGTGCATGTTATCCCCCCATAGCCTCGCAACACAGTCGCTATTATCAGGATGGTAGCTCCACTTAGGGTTGGAAATGACAGTGTCCAGCAATACAAAGCTGGTGAGAGAAGAAACAAAAACAACAACACATAAATACACACACAGCCCATGTTACAGTGCCATTATGAGCATGATCATAGTCAGCATCCTTGTTTTCATTGCTAAATACATGATCAAATGTACACATTAATATTCACCATTGGACTCTTTGGGCTTGTGGTATTTTGGCTCCCTCATGTACCGAATGAGTAGCTTGTTGAGTTGCTGATGTCTAGAGAAAAGCAATACATTAAGCAACATCAGGATCCCAGGAGAAAGAAGTCATCACGAAATGCGAACATACTGGAGATCTACTGCAGTACTGAGGAGTGTAACTATCACATGCAGTGGTTGGAAGGTAGTCAGTGATTTTGCAGAGATTTCTAGAGACAGCAGGCTCACCTAAATGTTTTCCCCTGTCTGCTGAGATCCAGTGGTGTGAGGCCGCTGTTGTTCTTCAGATGGAGCATCCAACAACCGGATCTCTGCATTAGTGTCCAACACACCTCCACACCGCCATGCTCTGCTGCAACATGGAGCGCTGTCGCTCCCTGCTGGTCAACTGCATCCACTGCACACCTCTGAGACACAAACAGAGGGTTGGGCTGCACAGTTGCTATAGTATATCTGCTCTTGACCCAGATTCACAAAAGCATCTGCAGAAAAGATTGATGTATATTTTGTCATTGTAAATGTTAATCGTACTGTAAATGTGTGGGATTGAGGACCAAAATAATGAGCTAAAATAGACTAAAAGCAGCTAACATTTGAGTAAAGTCACAGTACATTGTTGCATGGTAATCATCAGTGGGCGACACAGCAATAGCTACCCTTCCAAATCCTCTT